GGAAAGCTGATCCGATATTTACACGGGTCCTACTTCTTGCCTTAAGCCTTCTTTTGTTCCGCAGACGTTTTCCTCTTTTGTTTTTTATCCACCATCTCTATCTTTCTGTCGCTCGGCTCGGCTAATGTCCGTCCTGTGCACTGAACGCTCTCTCCTCCACATCATGAGTAGACACGCCCCTTACTGCTGATTGGCTGCAAGTTTGTTTTGCTAGTCGGCCCGAGTCAGTTTTCTAAAAATCGCTTACCCCACCTTTAAGTAAGGAATAATGTACAGTCAGATGATTATAGCAGAATAAACCCTGACAGGGTGATCAGGACCCTGACACTTATTATTTCGCATCCAATTTACACGGCTATACATCCAAGTATAGCCGTGTAAATTGAATGTGAAATAATGATTTAAAATGTTTTATCACTTTATAGTTTCAAACCTTCTGTGAAGAAAAACAGTTTCTAGCAGCTTAAGCAGAACCGGTCAAGATAACTCGCAGTACCCTGTGTTATTAGTTTTAGCCAGTTGTTATCCGGGAATAACATACCTTGGAATGTCGCAACTGGCTAATCAGAATCAAGTATTCCAGAGCACTGTGTAATAACACATTTTAAACTACACAAAAGGTTATTTGTTTAAAGAATGTTAATTGTTCTTGATTTAAGCCATTGTGGCATAGTTTAGATAAATAACTATACAGCCAAATGAGAGTCATAGGTAAAAGGGTTATTAATAATTAACCTGCTGGTAGACAGTTTACAACACGTAACAACAATTGTCTGTAAATGACAAACCTACATAATTTTTTAAAAGCACAGACAATGTATTGATTCCAAAAAAGTCTAAACCCCTAAACCTATTACCTGCATGTTGAATGTACATTTGCAACATTGTTCAAACATTCTTGCATGTTCTTTGTTTATCTGATCAACACGTCTGAACAGGAATACAAAGTGAAGGCATCACTCAGCAGACACATTGTTGAGATCAAGAAGGAAATCTACTCATCAATTCAAACAACCATTCAAAAGAAAATGACACCTGGCTACATAAGTAAGACACCAATAAAATATACAGAAAGACAGACTATTCAATTATTTTTGGTATTGTCCATCTGTTAGTTTTAAGATATTAAGTATATTATAAAACTGTGCTGTGTATGCAATTGTTTTCAATGAGAGGCAAGTTTTTTTGTTAATATTTTGAGCAAAAGTTTAAACAATAAAGACATTTTTTCACAGTTTTCTTTGCTCATTTTACCAAGGGCTAATATTAGTGGAGGGCACAGTATTACAGTACATGTTTGGTATAGGTGTTAAGTGTTTCATTTTAGTGTCATGATGCTTCTCTATAGAAATATGATGAATGAATATTAAATGTTGGTTATTACAGAAGCTGCAGACGTGAGAGGAACAGGAGCCATGCAGAGGATGGAGAAAATAATAACAGAAACAATTGAGCAGTTAAAAAATCAAATGTTCAATGAAGCAAAAGTGAAAGTGACTGATATGTTCAAAACCTTGAAGGTAATTAGTTCACGCACTCATCAATAATGAATGTCATAAATACTGGCTGGGAAAAGTTTTACATAATATTTAAATATTTTTTTGCGATCAGGAAGTTTTTAAAACAGACTAACTATGTTACACACACAGCTGAATATAATGAAGACCCTCGAATCTGAGCTAAAACATTCAGTGAAACTCTCGTTTTCACATGCCGGACAAATCAGCTGGTTGAGTAAGAGACTCTGATTTCATCATTTTTATGATTTAAAATAATTGTAGTAAATTATCTTACATGAAGTAATGACGTTTATCTAAAGGAGCATTGTGTAATGTGTTTTCTGTAGATGTCTCCGGAGAGATTCAAGAGCTGGAGAGACTGTCAGAACAACTGTCTTCCTGAGGTCAAGCAAAACAATATATATATATATAATTTGAAATAGTTTGTTTGGACAACTGGGAATATTTGGTGCATGTATACAGAGACCAAACAAGAATATAGAGATAAACAGATGTAAACTTGATTTTTCTCATTCAGTGCTGTGTCATATATTAGTTTTACTCTAGAATTAAAAACATAACCAGACAAGGTGCATCAAGGATATTATAGTTTAGTTTTAGTTAGTTTCATTAATGGTTTTGTTAGTTTTAGTTTATTTTTATTTTGTGAACACATTTTTATTTAGTTTTTATATATTTTAGTTTCAGTTTTAGTAATGATAGTTTAGCAGAGTTAATGGAACACTTCCAGTGTAGACCAAAGCAAGACATTTAATTTGAGCAAAGTTGAATATTTGCACAGTTTAGTTAACTCTTGTGCAAACCTCTTAATAATGAAAATAAAATAATTCTTTACAATTGAACAAAAACCAAAAATATGCAACTTATATGTAAAGGTTTTCAGAGGCATGTCAAACACGCTTTTAAATGTCCGTGCGCTGTAAGGTGTGCATTATTATTATTTCCCATTTCATATTTTATAGTTATTTCCCACGTCTTGTTTTTTAAATGCAAAAACTCATTCTCTGTGAATAGAATTAGGACTCAGCTCACGTGCATGAAGCGCCATCTACAGGTATTTCCCTGAAAAACCACAGGTCAGATTTTCTGGCACAGAATGGGAGCTTATTAAATCACGAACACGATTATTTATTTTTGCTAATTATTATTTTATTTTAGTTAGTTTTTCAATTACTGTTGTTAGTTTCGTTTAGTTTTAGTTTTTCATTTATTTCAGTTTACGAAAATGTTTTTTGACCAATAGTTTTAGTCTTAGTTTCAGTTTTCGTTTACGAAAATAACCTTGAGGTGCATTCCTGCACTGAGACGAACTAACATTGATTATGATAATAGAGGGTGGTGACAAACAGAAATGTAGGTGAAGGTTGTATGTGTGATAGTCATGCCTAACTGCAAGCGTTTTTTTTTTTTTACCAATTATGGTTTGAGTTCCTTGCTATTTGTTCAAGGCAACTAGGAACTCTGCACTTAATATGCATGTCCATTTATGTATTCAATCTCTGCTTCAGGACCTTTTAACTGTCTGTATTATATTATATATATATATGCAGCGAACTGTATCATTGAATTCACAGGTGCTCTATAGAAGAGGGATCAGACATTCATGAAATACCACTAATGCATTGTGGGTAGAAAAGCTTTCATCAGGGTGTGGGTACAAACAGATGTTTTATAGGGTGTGACCAACATACGTCACCACATGTCAAGGCATCACTGGCGTGAGACTAGTATACCTACAGTAGCTGCTTTGAATAAATACAACCCACTGCGTTCTGTACAGCTTTATTCATTTATTAAATGCTATTCATTTTTTGTGTAGTTCATTTGTCTTTTTGTATTCTTTTAATAATTGTCATTGTATGAAAACATTTCTGAAGTGTAAAAGAAAGGTAAGGTAATACATGTTCATGTTCAACAAGGCAAAAATGAAAGTGCTGAAAAAGTTCGATAACTTAACCAACAGATAAATCACATGTACAGGATGAGAAGGATGCATCTTCACAATACTGCCTGAAGGATGCGGTAGATCTGTTTATGCTAAACATAAACTCCTGTGCTTGCTTATATGCGCATTAAGAGGGTGTGTTACGTAAATCAGGAAGTTGACGTTATCATGTGACTTCAGACGTTACAAGCGTAACAACTTAAAAGATACGAGCGACAGGTTTAATTCATCTCTCTGTAAATGTTGTGATGTTGATGAAATGTGCTCATTCTGTGGTCTTGTTGAAGAAACAGCTGCACTTTTATTGTGATTGCAGTATAACCAATACATTTTGGGTTGATTTAAGTTTTTATAGTTTTAACCCTACTAATATGACCCATAGTTTAATCCTTAAAGATATTATATTTTATTATGAAAACCCCAAATTGTTGTCTTTTGAATATGTTAATTTCATCCGCAAGCAAAACCGGCTTAAATCTCCTTTGTTTTCCTCTTTTTCTTGTTTAACTCTCTTTGTTTCATTCCTCCGGCTTATAAATCGCAACAACAACAGCAAATGCAATTTTTGATGCTTTATGATTATATGAATATTATGATTATTCAAAGATATTTACCCTTGTAATTGTGCCTTTTTTCTGTGTATATATTCTCATACAATGATCTACGCAAACCCATTGTATTTATGTTTTCTATTATGATTGTTCATTGTTAAAGATACAACTATTTCTCCCTGAGCTTGTAAGTAATTATAAGTTCTGCAGTAATAATAATAGAAAGAAGATGAGAGAGGTGCACTAACACCTCACAGCATCAGTAACTCCTCAACTCTACCTAGTACAGTTTTCCTCAGGGTTTGCAATGTTTGCACAAAAGACACGTCGATCAGCTGCTTGAAGATTTGTCTTTGGAGAAGACTGCTGATATTATACTCAAAAAATTTAAGTATTACTACTTAAAATATAAGATTACACCAAAATGCATTGCTAGCCCACACCAACACTTACAATAATGATAAATGCTGACCAAAAGTTAATTACATTTTGCTTGTTTTACTAAAATTATATATTTAATTTGTTTTGTCATATGCCATAGCTATGCATGACTACACACTAGACAAACGCAGCCAAGGTGAATACATCTCAATTTTCAGTCAAGTAATTAATGCACAAGTTAATGAAACAATTATATTTTATTTACTGACAACAGGAAACATGAATATGAGTAAAAGAATGAATAAAAGTAACCATGAAAATCAACAACAAAGTCGACAACACATGAAACAAAGCTTTATTCAAACTAATCGTTCTAACAATCATCTACTGCATCTCAACACAGCTGAGACAGTTCTGCAGCTTTACTCTGATGAATGAATTCTGATCTGACTGCTGCTGTGTCTGCTCCAAACATCTGTGCTGCTCTCCATGAACACCACTACCTGTAACACATTGACACAGAGTCAAACATCTTACATCTCATGTTGTCAGCATTACATTTCTTGGCAAATGTAGTTTCATATGTTTACAATGACATGCTAATTTTTGCTATAGCTTCATTACTTCTGTGGTGTCGATCTCCGCAGCCGTCACCGGCAGCAAGGCTCTTTACTCCGGGTTGCTTTTTTTTGTCTTGGGCACAAACGTTCAATAAAGCTGCTTATTTCTTCAAGGTACTGCTTTAATATAAATGCTTACATATACAGTATTTCATACAATTTCTATTTGGGGGGTTTAAAGGGTTAGTTCACCGAAACATATAAATTCAGTCATTATTTTCTCGCCTCCACGCTGTTCAATCCTTGTGTTTGTTTGTTTGTTCCCTGAACACAAAAGGTGATTTTGTGGTTTGATTCTGGTTTGTGTTCATACAATATCAGTCGATAGAGCCTGACTTTCAGAAGCTTCGTCACATTATTTGATGATGCTTTTGAGGCAAGGCAAGTTTATTTATATAGCTCATTTCATACACAAGGGCATTTCCAAGTGCTTTACATAAATAGGAATCATAATCATAACAATAAAAGCAAGGAATTAAAATTTTTAACTGATTTAAAAACTGATTTAAAATGAATTAAAACAGTTAACCCTCGAGCATCATTTGTATAGCAGCCCTTAATTTGTCAAATTTGGGCACGAAGGTCTCAGCTGTGATCCCGGTTTTTGCTTTTAAATAAATGTCACATCACTGTCTTCGATAAAATAAAAACTATCAATTTATGCAGTTTTTGTTATTTTTGGTGTTTTTTTATTTACCTCTAAAAGTACCATATTTTTAAAAAATTTAAAATATGCTTATTTTTATGTTATATTTAATATTTCTTATACTTTAGGGGGAAAAAATCATTCCAGTAAAGTTCAGACAGCCAAAACCAAAATTTTTGGTGAGTTTGGTGACATCTGGTGACATATGATGGTATAAAAATATCAATATCCACTATATGGCTGTAGTACTCAATGGCTGCATATAGGCTCAAATCTATAAACCATTGTTGTAACGAACGTAACCTCTTAAATTTGAGATTTTATCACAAGTTAAAAGTGTAGAATTGAAAAAAAAAA